AGTATACTATTCTTGATGCTTGGCAAGTAATCCAGAATAAAGAGCATGGATATGATTTTATGTCCAAAGATACCCTTCAGTGTGTGGAGAAATTCCAACTTCTTTACATTCCTTTATCAATTCTAAAACTGGCTGGTAGAGGTAGTAAAAACATAATGGAGAAAAGAAGTAGAATGACTTGAACACAAAGTGACTTATGCTTACTTCGAGAAGTTAACAGGCACAGCATAAACTGAAAGAAGAAAAAAACAATACTAAATAATCTGCATTGGAAGATAGAACTTTGCAGGTACACGGCTACCATAAAACCTGAGCAATGAGGTAATAATCTATCTTCATTAAAGAAAAGGATGTGTTCCTACATACTCTGCCAACAGGAACCTATCGAATAAGGATGCAATTTAGGAAATGGCCTCAGTAGCTTGGTGGGACACCCCTCTCCTCTAAAGCAGGGTTGGCTGCTGATCTGCCAAATCACTGACTTTCAGAAGGGAAAAGCTATAGCACTTAACCAAACAGATCTGCCCTGTAACATGAAGGTCACAGTACTTCCATTTAGAAATTGCCTTCCTTCAAAACTAGCAGATTTTTCAGGTCGAAGAGAAAACAAATTGTCTTCCTATTTTCAGATAAGCCTTTAAGCTCCTCCAACAGGAAACTGAGTCTACAGCTGAGACAGCCTCCCTTCCTCAAACACAGACCTAATGAGAAAATTTTACAACTACTTAGCCGTTCTATACCTATGCTGAAACTGTAAACATTTTTTTATTCCCAAACAATTTGTAATTACTAAGCAGTATGTACAGCTGACAATGCTCTTAGCTTGAAACAAGGGCCTAATTTTGAATCCCAGTTCATACCATCCCAATAGATGAATGGCTTTGGACAAGTTAGTCAACCTTTCTTAGAGAACCTATTTATAAAAAAAAAAGATACCACCACCCATTTCACAGGTATGCAAAAGCTATCGCCCTACCTAGCATTGGGCAGATTCTCACTAAATTAGCTGAACTGGGAAATAGCCTATTTCTAAAGTAGATAATTAACACATCACAAAAGCTTATTAATTTTACAGACTATAAAATATTTCAAGTGTTAAGAATCAAATATTTATCTTGTTTTAAACAAATAATCTGGAAAATCTAAAGAATCTTGGGGGAAAAGCTATGAGGAAGTTAACATTTATACAGTCAATCCTTTTGATTTGAAAGGTTTTAGGAAAAATAAGAAACATTTAAATGCAATGAAAAAGCACAGAAAAACTCAATAATTTTAAGTTTCTGTTGGATAAATGACTCACTTTAGGGAAAATCGGAAATACTTTCCATTTTGCTTATTGTAATACTAGGAAAATCCTCAATTATCCTATAATGGAGAATGGGACAAGCACACAAGAATGGGTGGCTGAAACTGTAAGCCCACACAAAAACTTTCAAGGCTATGTTGGAGATAAACTATAATATTGAGTATCTGTAGGCTAAAAATCATTTTTTTCTTTGAAATAAATCTTCAGGCTAAGAATAAAGAGGCAGATGGAAGTAGACAACAATATGGACATTGAAAATATAATGTACACAATTAATGACAATACCAGTTTCAACCCATAGACTAGATTTCTCACTCAAAACCAGACCACCACACCCAGATTGAACACTGCTTCTTAACCTGTGTGATCTTAAATTACTTAATCTCTGAGACTCAGTTTCCCTATCTGTAAAATATGGCTAATAATACTATACATCAGATGACTGTAGTGAGAATTAAGTAAATCAATACAAGTAAAATGCTTAAAGAATCTCTAGCACATACGCACTCAATAAATTTTGACTATTATTCCTATTTGGAGTTCCTGTTAGAAAAAATGTTAATCATCAAACTAAATATTATTTACAACAATAGTTCACAAATATCCGAGAATTTTTCTAAGTCCGTTCCTTGGATTCAGTTTTCCTTACAACTTAAATTTACTAGGGCGCATCAGTAATTTCGTGCAGCAGCCTTTCCCTGCTGGATGAAAATTAAAGTCACTTTGTTTTAATCATTCAAACTGCTTTACCGCACAGCCCCAATCTTCCAAATGGAGGAATGGAGGTAAGGGGCTATTTCCAAATCATAAATTATAAACAGTAAAAAACAAATTTTTATATTATCATGTTAGGAGAGTATGATTCTGTTATAGCATGACATTAAGCATTAATGGCTAAAAAATTTTATACAAAGGATTTTGTATAATGAATCAAATTAAACACATGATGTGAAGGTTACATTATTTTTAACACGGATTTCAAAGAATTGATTACAAATCTACACGCTTTCATCTCAAAAGAAGCTAACTGAACCTTGAGGCCCATACTTTCCAACTCACTATGTAAAGTTTTCCAAATGGCAAAAGATGCAGAGGTAGAGTGCGTTATTATGTGTTAGTCACACATAAAAAGCACACTAACACCTGACATTCTACTTGTATTTTAAAAGGCAAATAACAACTCAATCTCAGAAAAATATACCCAATATATTAAAACCTTTTAAAATGCGCCCCAAAAGGAAATAATTTCTCTCCAGTCTTAAAATATTTTGGGTAGCCTTATAAAGATAATCCGTGGGCAATACACTCTAAATTACCATGTTTAATTCAAATTGAACATCAATATTCTAGAGTATTCAATTACAGATACATGAGTCTTGTTTTTCAGGGAACTGAAGTTCTGGGTAGAGTCCAATTGAAGAAAATTCCCTGAGATGAGTTCGTAATAATTCAGATACAGGACCAAATAATCATCATAAACTGACATAGTTAGCTACTGTAAAATTACAGACTAATATAACAAGATAGGTGGGAGATAACTATTTTCATATTCAGAAGAAACAATTTGAAAATAGTTTCACCCCACTGCTAACATTTTCAAGAGAAGTGAAATTCACAGAATGTCATTGAGTAAAGTGGCAATCTCTATAGAGAGTAGGTCTTTTTAAAATGTGAAACACTTATTGTCAAACAACTTGGTCTTTGAACCTTGAGAGCTGCTTCATAACACGTGAAGCACAGGCATTAGGGCAGATTCAAAAGGTTTTAAAAACATCTGTCAACTTCTCCCCACCTGTTAGCTTAGCCAAATTTATGAACATCTATTTACATAAATCAAAAAAGCTCGCATAAATTGACTCCAAATTTGCAGGACGTTTATACAGTGAAAGCACAAATAAAATTCTGCATTACTATGAAAAAAAGACAAGCAACAGCGGTGAACTAAATCTCTCTTCGCAAGGCAAAGAAGCATTTTCTCTGCCGAATGCATAGTTGCCAGATCCATGATCTGGTGTTGCCAACCTGCAACAGGATCGGAAAGATGTAGCAAAAAATACGTTAAAAAAAAAAAAAAGGAAAAAAAAGCACAGCAATCTGTTCTTTAAAAATGTCAAACAGCTAGGAACTTTCTTAGCTCTAGCAGTTTCATGCCTGCTTTACAGATGAGTGAACTAAGGCAGAAGATCGGATTAATCAGTGCCTTTCTCAAGGTCACTCTAGTGCAAAAGAACAGCACACTCCGGACTCCAGATCTCAGGTCTCCGACCTCTCCACAATCCTAGGCGGCAAAGCTCAAAACTGCTCGGCCCCTACTCGTACCCAAAATGCCACTAGGCACTCGGAGAAAGGAGACATTTGGAGCTCTCTCAGTGTAGCTCCTGAAGAACTGGGGTACCTGTAGCCCGCCTTCCCCGAGGTGGCTGCCGTCCCGGGGGCCAGGCGCCCCACCCGTTCTCGTGGAGCTAGAGCCACTGCCCCCCAAGAACCAAGGAAGTGGCAGGGGCCGCGGGGGCTGCGGAGGTCCCGCCGCGAGAGGCTTCACTTACCATCGCTCTCGGCCCTGACAAGCAGGGACATGCCCTTCAGCCGCTCCACATAGCCGGACGACACATGCCCGGTGCCCCGGTCGTCCCACTGCCGGTCCTCGTTGAGCGTGTAAACCTTCACTCGCCGCCGGGTGTCGGTCATCGTGCCGCCCGGGGGCCGGGGCGGGGGCCCCGCCGGAGACGCCCAAAAAGGGGGTCCGGGAGCAGCGGGAGCCGAGGCGGGAGGGCGCCCGCAAGCGAGGGTTACCCGACCTCACTGCCGCCGCTGGCCTCCGCGGGGCCGCGCGGCCGCCTGCATGGCCCGCTGCCGGGCCGGAGCTCTGGGCCGCCGCCTTTCCTCGCCTCCGACTCCTCGGCGCTATTGTCCAGGCCCGGCGAGCCCGGCAGCCCAGCAACCCCGAGGGGGGCGCGCAGCGCCTCGCAGCCTCCTGGCCCGACGCGCTAGGAACTCGAGGTTTCGGTCACTGCCCTGCTCCCGCCTCCGCCATGATCTCCGCGAAGCCGCTTCCCGCGCCTCCACCGCCTCCTCAGGCCGCCGCCGCCGCCGCCATGTTTTCCTTCCTTGTACCTGGCCCTGCCACCGCGGGCTCCGCTCCGCTCCCCCTGCTTCTAATGTCCAAAGCACGCGGGCGCCTCTCCTGCTGCAAGTGCTACCACTGCTCGGGAGACTCTGAAGGCCCTAGGCTGCCACAGCACCCTTGGCTATTGGAAATCGCTTTCCCTCTGCCGCCGCCGCCGCCTCTTCCGTCTTCCTCACGGAGCCAAAGCCGCCGCCATCTTGGTTCGCCCCTCAAAAGCGGCGCGCGGGGCCACCCAGGCAGCAGCTGCAGGGGCGGCCCGTTGGCCCCACCATTTAAAGAGACAGGAGCGAGGCCGGGAGCCTCACTGCGGCGGAGGCCTCGGACGGAGGCGGGAGGAGGGTGCCGAGTTGCCGAGGTGGCGGGAGCGCAGAGAGCGGAGGAGGCGGGACGCTGGTCGCGCCGTGACAACCCGGGGCTCCCTCGCGCTTCCCTGCACGCACCGTCGTGCGAGCGCGGGGCGGCGTGTGCGTCGGTCGCGCCCTGTGTTCGTCATCAGCCGGGCTCCGGGATGCGAAAGGGGCGTGGAGTCCGCCTCCGGCCTCGGCCTCGGCGCGCCGGTATCTCGCCTTAGGGTCCGCCCGCCGTCGCGCTGGGCAGCTTGGGCCTCGGGTCTGCCCGCGGCGCGTCCTCCTCCGAGAGGGGCCTCTGGGCTGCCTTTGGGGTTGGACTGGGCACTTGGGACCTACCCAGACTTTTTCGGACATCTGGCGGCTCTCCTTTGGGATGAAATTGAAGGGCTTCTGGGAAAGGTCCCAGATTTGGGCATCCAGATCTGCGACTGGTGTGGCGAGTGTAGAAACTTAGGACACTTTCGGTTTTCTGGGCCTGGGACTGAGTCCCAAGTGACAATTCTAAAGCTTTACCTTACAACCAGCTGCGCCCCAAGTGCTGCATTCCTTTGTCCTTTATCAGAACTGTTATTTTCTAGCCCTCCTTGTTGCAAAAAGAACTTGAGGGGTTTACAAAAACGAAGATACTGTATAATTAGGATGAGTAATTATCGACGTTGGATAATACCGTGTTTTGAATACCTACTTGATGTTAAGCGCTGTTCATCTTCACAAATGAATAACACTCTCATTACTATCATGCAAGGAATAGGCACCATTTGGGGGACTTTTACTGTTGTCTAGGCTGTCTAGGTCAGTTCTATCCACTAGAAATATAATGCGAGCCACATAGGTAATTTTAAATTTCATAGTAACCACTTTTTAAGAAGTACGAAGGAACTAATGAATTTGATTTTAATAATAATCGCAGTATTTTCAAAATACTTTATTAGTCAGTATAAAATTATTATGAGATTATTTTACATTCCTTGTTTTCTGTACCATGTCTTCAAATTGTGATGTGTCTTTTACCCCTAGAGCAAATCTCTATGTGGATGCTAAATTTTCATCAGTAATGTCTCATCTGTATTTGGATTTATTGTATCAAATATGCAGTGTAGTTTGCGTTACACCCACTATTCAGAAAGAGTTTAATAGCATGACCAGCGCTGAGGGCTTTCCTGGGATCTGGTACTTTCAGTTTTAAAATTAGAAGTTGAAACCTTCCTTCCCCACAACTTGAAATATATAAAGAAGTGCTTGCAGAGCACACTGGTACTTTAAGACAGGAGTCTGCTAGCCTCCTCATTTGCCAGCTAAATTAATAAACTTCTCTTTCCTTTTCCTCAAACCACTTCTCATTCTTCTGATGCAGCCTCAGGGACAAGTGCCTACTGGTAACAGAATTTGGCATCCCTGGGTGGGCCCATCAGCACCCCAGTGGAATGGTACCCCCTGACTGCTGGAAGAGGCAGGGAGCAGGCCCGGGTCAAAGCTGTGGGTCTTCATAAATAGGAGTATAACTTCTTTTCCAGGTGAGAGCAAAGAACGGCCCCAGCAGCTGCTGGAGCCTATTTTAGCTCTATCTCCCTGAAGTAGACACAACTCCCTGCATCCTGAACTGAATTGAGGAGAAGGAAATGGATTTGGAAAGTGTCCAGATGCCAGGCCTTTTGTTGGGTCCCTTCCCCACTTGGAAGCAGAGAAGGCAAAGGGACCCTATGAAGTGCCTCTAACAACTCACACCTTAAAATTGTCAGAAGTGAAACTATCGGTTCATCATACCAAAGCTAAACAACTCCTTAGTAAGGATTTCCCCAGGCTACCTATGGCTGCTTTTGTTGATCTGTCTTGCTGCTCTATGTGTTATCCTAAACCTCATTTGGTACAAGTACTTCTGTACATGATTTCTGAATTTGACGAAGCTGGTCTCTCGCATCACCTACAGGGTGCAACTAATAGCTCTGTGCTCAGAGGTCCCATGTTTCTTTTCTAACCCAGCCCTGTATTAGACATTGTGTGTAAGGCAACAGTCCATTTTATATTGTCAGTCCTCACGGTTGTAGTAATTGCTTATGCCCATTTTCTCCTGATAATCTGTACCTTCCATCTACAACATTACCCCAATTCAGCAGGCAGTAACTTGATGACTATGTCATCCCTCCTCCCATAGATGTGGAAAGGTAAGAATGAAGTGGAGAATATGTAACAGAATGGGCTGAAAAAGGGTAAAAATGTTTTCTGTGTCTTCAGAACCCCTTCATCCTTTTGGGGAACTAAAACCTACATCCCTGCCTCAGACTAGTGGTTGGGAGGGACGGGAGAGTGTACTTTGTTCTCTGTGCCACAGGAGATGGATGACTCAGGGGAATTGCCCATGCGGAGGTCACAAGATCATCTTAGCTGAGGATGGGATGAGTCTGGGCGGAGACCATGACATTGTTTTAGCCAAAGATGGGATTATGAAATTAATCAGAACCTTTAAAAGCTCTGTACTTCTGCTCAGAGGCAGGATGCTGGTCCTTCAAGACAGAACTCTGCCAGCCTTCTTTGCTGGCAAATTAGTAAGCTTCTCTTTCCTTCTCCTCAAAAAATAATAAAGGAAAAGTGCTTATGAAGACCAGCCTGAGCCAATTTTGTCAATTTTTAATGTAACAAGACATCATTAAACTTATTCACATGGTAACACTTAATTGATCCCCAAACCAAACATGTAATAATTTGTAGAAAAATCATACTTCTAAGGTAAATTAAACAGCAGGAAATATTTGTTAACTAAAAGAAGGATAAAAATTTCATGTTATAGTCAGATGTGGTGGTGGGCTCTTGTAATTCCAGCTATTTGGGGAGACAGGCAGGAGGATTGCTTGAGGCCAGGAGTTCAAGACCAGCATGGACAACATTGTGAGACCCCATCTCTATAAAAAAATAAAAAGATTAGCTAGGCATGGTGATCCTAGCTACTCAGAAGGCTGAGCCAGCAGGATCACTTGAGCCTGAGAGTTGGAAGTTGCAGTGATCATGCTAATGCACTCTAGCCTGGGCAACAGAGAAAGACCCTGTCTCAAAAAAAAAAAAAAAAAGAAATAATAATTTTTGTGTATGCCTCAGTAAATAATAATATAGGCAAGATAGATAGAAGTCATTATTTTATTAATAATGTATATTAAAAGGAAAGAGTAAGTGGCTTAAATATTTGGGTAATTATTTAAATGCTTCCCCTTCAATCCAGGGAATGCCCTACTGTCAGAATTATATATTTTTGAAATATACATCTTTGTGTACAGTGATGTGCAGTTTATGCTAGAAACTCTTCAACAGATTCCCATTTGCTTATAGGACAAAGGTCAAAATACTTAGCACCTCCCTTCATGATCTATGAGTTGCCTCTTGAATTTTACACACCAGCGATGTTGCCTGCTTTTAGTTCACCAGGCAGTTTTTATTTTGTTTCTCCAATCCTTGTGGCTGTCTAGAAAGTCCTTACCATCTTGTTTTGTTTATTTTTATAATTTTTTTTTTGCAATGGGATCTCCCTATGTTGCCCAGCCTGGTCTCAAACTCCTGGGTTCAAGTGATCCTCCCACCTCAGCCTGCCCGGTAGCTGGGATTAGAGGTGTGTACCACTTGCCCAGCCCATCCTATTTTCTTTAAAATCTTTCATAGGCATCACCTACTCTGCCACAATTTCCCTGACAGCTCCCATCCCAGATAGCCTTAGTCATTCCCTCTTTTATAGCATATCCATGCCCTTTCAATACTTGCACTATCACCTGAACACTCTTCGGGTTTATTTACATGCCTGATTCTTCTACTGCACTCTAGCCTGGGTGACAGAGTGAGACCCCATCTCTATAAAAAATAAAAATAAATAAAGTGTACTATGCATACAAAAATGATTGAAATGGTAAATTTTATGTTAAATTTATTTTACCACAACAAAAATCACTACACTTCAGAAGGTGAATTTTGGTGGCAGTATTAAAGACAGGTTGGAGTCTGGAGAGACCCACTTGGAGATCATGTACTAGCTACTTAGAGATTCCCAAGAGGGCCTGCACCAGCACTGCGGCAGAGTTTTGGAAAGAGAAGGGTGGCTACAAGAGCTATTGTACAACTAGGAAGAGCTGGACATTAACTGAACATTGGGGTGGGGAGTCATAAGTGACTAAGGTTCCTAGTCACATGGCAGAATATGGGAAAGGGATCACAGGAGAAAATTTGGCAGGAATTGCATAATATATAAAATAAAACAATATGAAATCTGTGTTAATTAAAGGAATGTGAAGCAAACATTTGCCTCTTTATCTAGGTGCAGTGCAGTCTACTCCTTCTCTTGTGGATTATTTGCAGTATCAAAGTTCCAGTGGCGTGATCACTGTAACCCCTAACTCCTGGGCTCAAGCAATTTTCCTGCCTCAGCACCCAAGTACTTTCAAAGAGCTAGGACTACCAGTGCATGCCACCACACCTGGCTAATTAAATAAAACTTTTTTGTAGATATGGGGTCTTGCTATGTTGCCCAGGCTAGTCTCAAACTCCTGGTCTCAAGGGATCCTCCCATCTCAGCCTCCCAAAGTGCTGGGATGACAAGTGTAAGCTACCACGCCTGGCCACATTTTATTCTTTTCAACCCTAGATTTCTTGACATCAAAGGTACAAGAGATAAGTCTATCAGGTGAGTCTGAAGTCTACTTTAACCATCCACAGAAATACATAAACATATTGTACAGTTTATTGAATGATAATACAATGAACAGCTGTGAATCACCATCTAAAGCAGATCTTTACCACTATCTTAGAAGTGCCCTGTGTCAGGTTTTCCCTCCATCTTCCCTCAGGAGAATCACTTGTGCCTTTGCTTTTCTTTTTAGTGTTACCTTCAATATATGAATTTCTAAACAATATGGTATTTAGATTTGGAAAACGGAACAAACACAAATTTAGCTGTGTAGAAAAAGATTAGTTCCACTATTAGAAAAATAGTCATTGTTATGGACTGAATGTTTGTCTCTCCCAAATTTCGTATGTTGAAACCCTAATCCCTAAACTGATAGTAGTTGGAGATGGGGACTCAGGAGATAATTAGGTCATGAGGGTGGAGCCCTCGTGGTGGGATTAGTGGCCTTAGAAGAAGAGATGAGAGAACTTGCTTCTTTTGTCTTCTCAGCCATGTGAGGACACAGTGAGAAGGTGACCAGTGGGGTGTGATAGTACCTGCCTCTATAGCCCCAGCTACACAGAAGGCTGAGGTGGGAAGATTACGTGTGAACCAAGGAGTTTGAGACCACCCTGGGAAAAACAGTGAGACTCCATCTCAGAAAAAAAAAATGCACACTGAAAACCAGATTGAAAAAAATAAAAGATGACAGAATCTTGATCTTGGACTTCCTAGCCTCCAGAACTGTGAGAAATAAATGTTGCTTACATCACCCAGTGTATAGTGTTTTGTGACAGCAGCCTGAGCACACAAAGACAGCCACGTCTGGGTAGCTGTCTGGATTCAGCTTTCTTGAGAGTTCATAAGCACTCCTTGTGGGGGATTCAGTGTGCAGAGCTATGAGTGAGTCTGGGGAAACAAAGAGCTTCCATTCTGGGAGCATT